ATATATATATATATATATATTACATTTTGCACAGTGTTGAAGGTCAAGGACATCTCCATGGAACCTAAATTTCTATGCTCGCTCACTGATTTAGAATTAGCACACGCTCATCTGGAATTTCAAAATTGTTTTACATGTCATAAAGCCCTGGACGTTTCACCAGCAGGGAATGTTTCGAGACTCTGCGACCATCAAAGTGGCTACTGGTGCTCTACCCCTTGGCGTAACCATTCCAGATGAACACTAGAATACTTTTAGCCCCACCTCATGTCACCTCTTTGTCAGCCTAAGGAAAAAAAAACCTCTGGATTAATCACCGAAGGACGATAGTTTAAGGCTTCTTTTATATTAAGAAAACTCAGTGACCCCTGAAGTTACTCTACTCCTTCATGACTATTTGAGCCTTCTCATTCTTCGTTTCTTGTGGCCTACCCTCCTCATCACTCACTTCCTCTCTCCTCCGTTTTGTCACACCCGCTAAATCTTACATCATGGCACAAGTCACACTCTTACTACACAACCTCACACCCCTCTGTGCAGATGGTCACGTCCCACTATGCCGGGTTGGTTCAGAACCAGGACATATCAACCCTCTTCTTCCAAAACCCTGAAGGTTTTAATCACTTCCTGAATTGGTTACTCTGATGGTATGATGGAGGAAGCCCATCTTAACTCAGTGACCTCTAAATCACATGTGGTCCTCTCCTCTCTCACTTTACATCACATGTGATACCCACAGCATCAGAAGGTCAAAGACAACACTCACCTTTTTAACCTGATCATCCTTCAGCTCAGTGAAGTAATAAGCAAGTAGCTGGGCTGCAATCATCCTGGTCCTTGTTCCCTCTCACACACTCATACAGCACACACACACTCCTTCACGTAAAGATGCGAAAAAAGGTCCGAACTTAAAGAAAAGTTTTAAAAATCATTCACAAATAAACAACTAACAGCTCTGGTTTTGATTTGAATTCTTCTTCTTTTTTTTACGAATAACACACATATATTCTAACACGAGTCCAGTGTGGTTTCAAGTTGAATGACTTTTCTTTATGTGCTCGTGAGAGTGAAGCCAGGAAGCACGAGCGAGTGAGGCAGCCAGAAGTTGAGCTGCAGGAAGGAGGCAGGCGCTGACCACGCCCACTCCCTGAAAGCTCATTGGGTTAGTTTCATGATGGGAGGGGGGAAGAGAGGTGGGGGGAGGGTTGGTGCCGCAGCCTCTCTACTATGGTTGGCTGGAGGCAAAACCCCCTCAGTGATGGAGGAGGAAGAGATGGGGACGGAGGGGAGGAGCAGAGGGAGGTCAGGGGGAAATGTGGCCTTCACAGAATTGCTGCTTAGCATACCAGTAAAGACAATGAGTCAGTCTGAGTCAAAGCAGGAGGGAGCTCTTCAGTCATTTATGAGGTAGATCAGTTGGAGACGAGGAAGAGGAGAGAAAACTCCAGAGTGTCTGCCTCTCTGAGCTCAGAGGAAAGTTTTCCACCCAGTTTTACGACACTTCAGTCAAAGAGGTTTTGCTGTGAGGTGGAGTGAAGGGGTGGAGGCTTGTGCAGCTCTTCCCTAAAGAGTCACTGGGCAAAAGTTTCAGGCAAGTGAATAAAAAGTGCTGTAAACTGTGACTGAGCTTTAGGGCCACACTAAATTTTCATTTTTTTTTTATTACATTGCCATGCTAAGAAGAAAAAAAAAGCCATAAAATTACAAGAATAAAGTCATAGTATTACGAGAATAAAGTCGAATCAAGTCTTAATATTATGAGAATAAAGTCGTACGAGACTTTTTTTTAACAGCTTTCGTTTTTTTTTTTCTTCCACGAGTCGGATCCACGATACGACCTGTCAGTCAATCTAGTACGCATGTCAGCAAATGACCAGTCCGAAACAAAATTTACCACATTTTAACTGTGGTAAAATGAAGATTGTTTGTTAAACTTTATTGTTATTGACGCTCTTACTCAAAACGTGTTACAATACTGCCACCTACTGTTGTTTTTTTGCATGCTGCTTCTGGGATGCAAACGTGACGTCATTACGTCATGACTTTCGAAAACGCCGCTCAGTGAGCGAAACTGTCCAAGTGTGTGTTTTGTTGATAATTCAATAGGGCAGCACGGTTGTACAACTGGTAGAGCTGCTGCCTCTCAGTGAGAAGGTCCCTGGTTCAAATTCCGACCTGGGGGTCTTTCTGAGTGGAGTTTGCATTTTCTCTCCGTGCATGCGTGGGTATACTCCGGTTTCCTCCCACTGACCAAAAACATGCATGTTAGGCAGATTGGTAACTCTAAATTGTCCATAGGTGAGAGTGAATGGTTGTTTGTCTCATTTATCTTTATGTGTCCCTGTGATGGATTTGTGACCTGTCCAGGGTGTACCCTGCCCCTTGCACAGTGATTGCTGGACATGGGCACTGGCAACCCCCGTGACACAAAATGGAAAAAGTGGGTAAAAGATAATGGATGGATGGATGATAATGCAATTCAGTTTATTAATATAGCACCAAGTCACAACAGAAGTCATCTCAGGGCACTAAACAGAAACATTCACATACATTATAAATACCAATTTGTAAATTGCAGGTCTGTCTTGTAAATGAGTCCTCGAGGCTCAATGAGACTAAAGTAGTTTTCACACCTGATAGTCCGGTAGACTCGGTTCGGTTAGGGACCAATATTCATAACATTTTGTTTACATTTGAGTTGTTGCATTTCCATTCACACTGCACTGTGCAGTCGAGCCAACCTGTTCGAACCAACCAGTTCCCCCACTCGCCTGTGGTGGCGCTGCACCAAGAACTACTGACTAGAAGCAACAAAATGTTTGTTGAAACAGTTCAGGATCTCGTGCTTATTTGACACAGGAACAGAGTTAACGAGAAGTTGTGATGGGAGGTCAGATGATTGTGGGGTACCTGAGAGAGATTTGATGGTTTTCCAGAATCAAATATAAAAACCAAAACGGAGTGGCGTCAAATTTTAGTGGTTTTAGGAGTTATATTTGTCATTTTTCAACAATGGACTCAGCATGAGTGGAAGATGAGGCAAAAGACCATGGAGAATGTTGTTTTTCACACAAGGCAGCTGACGGCTCCATAGGAGGTAAGAAAAATGTGCGTTTGTTTGCCCTGTGCTGTACTCCACTTCCTGCTTTTGGCGCAGTCTTCGGTCTGCTTGCATTCACACTGTACTCGAACCCCGCTAGAGTTTTCTTCAACCGGACCGAGGCCTAGGTTTTTAGGCAGGCCAGAGTTCGACTTTTTGATCCGTGATAGAGTTCGATGGTGCGTTCACACCTCCCCAAACGAACCGGACTTCCTAGGCAAACAGGCTAGAGTTCGGGACAACAGGGCTGGTGTGAATGCACCCTAACTTGTATAAGTAAACAGTGAATGAAAACATCTATCTAAGGAAGGAAGCCAGCAGATTGTGTTGAGTCTTCATTTCGTCACAGTCTCCCACTCTGAGCTAACACAAAGGCAAGAGTAGAAAGGAAAACTCCCTCATAACAGGAAGAAACCTCCAGCAGAACCAGGCTCAGGACAAGCGGCCATCTGCTTCAACCATTTGGGTTTGAGAGGACAAGAAGGAGGAACAGACACAGAATAGCAGGTCCAGAATGGAGGCGAGCAGGTGAGCAGGTCCCTCACTAGGAGGAAAGGCGAAACAATGTTAAGACAAAAGCAATTACCAATAATAAACAATTGCAATAGTCCAACCTAGACATGATAAAAATATGAACTAAGTGAAGTAGTTTATTTCATTTTTATCCCATATATTTCTTCAAATACATGCAACAATGTTGTAAGGATATAAACATATAAACTCCCAGTGGATACGTGACTAAATGACCAGACCATGTCTCCCGAGTTGAACTACAAAGATGCGTACACTTATTATTATTATTATTATTGTTGTTGTTGTTGTTGTTGTTGTTGTTGTTGTTGTTGTTGTTTATTTATTTGTTTGTTTGTTTGTTTGTTTATTTATTTATTTATTTATGTATTCTCCCTTGTCCTGTCCGGCATTGTGACACTTAGAATTACTTAGATGCTTACACTTATACCAAACAGTCCACGTAAGACTTGTTTTCTAATAACTTACAGTTGCAAAGCCTTTCATTAAATGTTACTATTTAATATATTGAGCGTCCTGTTGTTTAAAAGATAACTTTTCATTCAACCTTTATTTAGACAGGTAAATCCCACTGAGCCTCGAGGACTCATTTACAAGAAATGAAGACTGTCAATTCACACTAATTTCAACAGTCGCCTTCTAATTTATGTAATACTGTAGCACTTATTAAACAATTTAAGATAAACATAAAATAACATGGAATTTATTTATAATGAATGCATAACTGGCTTTCAAGCATCTAAGAACAACAGAGAAAAAAAATGAAGTATGATTATATAAAATGCTTTGTCCATTTGCCCCATCCCTGTTTTGCCCGCCTCTTGCACAGTGATGGCTGGACATGGAGTGATCCCCGCGACCCAAAAAGGAAGAAGCGGGTAAAGATAGTGGATGGATGGATGTTTCAGGTTTATTTTCACTTGAAGCAATGAAGAAATACAGATCTGTAGATAATTATATATACTTAAAGTAACAAAAAAAATACTGGTGATTAAAGTGTGCCTAACAGACGTATGTGTGCATGCTATGTGGTGACCAAAGTGTGCCTACAACAACTTTCCATTTTTCCCTTGTTGGTCTTGCAGATGGAAAATTGAATTTTCTGTTTGGATGTTTCTTCTTGTCAGAAGTGCAATCATTCACACTGCAACATCTCACTATTTTGTCAGCCTTGTACAGTATGTTTACGTGACCACGTACCCAGATGTCCAACTTCGAGAATCATGCCCTTTTTTTTTATGAATTCTACAGATAGTTTGTTCCAAACATCTTAAAAAACTAAGCACCAGTCTGAATGTTTCTGGTTTTTCTGGTCTTTTCATGTAATCCCAGAGACACTCCATGACGTTGAGATCAGCATACTCTGCTGGCCACGAGACTCCCTGCTATTCTTTAAACTAAAGTGGATTTTGACAACATTTAGCTGTGTAATTTATGTCAGCGACTGCAGAATTAATTTGGGACCAATCAGATGCCTCCCAGATGGTGGTGCTGAAAGTTTAATTAATTCTGACCAGATTTCCAGCTTCATCTCTAAGAGTTTTGTTCCGAACATGCAGAAACTTCCATCAGCTTCATTACTGCCTGCATACACTTATTATTGTTCTGTTCTCCAGCCATTTATCAAACAAAGTGTCTCCTACTACAGATATCAGTCCCAAACAACTGTTGCAAATTCAATGCACCCCAATTCTTATGTTTCCTGTGCATAATTGAATTGTTTGGTCATGTTGGTCATAATTGTAACATAAATCTGACTTCTCCAGGCAGTAGATGGGTGTACCTGGATTCCACCATTTTCATTCTGTTTTTAGCTGACAAAACTGATGAACATCTTCTGAAAAGTGAACAGGATACATCTGTTGCACTAAAAACTCTTTGATCAATGGCTCTGTATGGTTTTAATTGTTGCTTGCTTCCTTGTGTTTTATGCTTAGTTCTGTACACAGTGTAGCAGTTCTCAGATTAATATTATCTACTTTCTCCAGCTCCATGCTTTCCATGCAGAAACTTGGCTGATTGATAATGAATAACCTGGTTTTTGTTCCACTTTGACTTTGCAGATCCAAAACTTCTCAAACACAAGAAATGTTTGCATAACATATATAATGTAGACCGTTTCATTTACTCTCTAACACCTTAAGTAAACTAAGCAGATGAGCACACACCTGTCATCAAAGTGGTTCAGTGCATCTGTTTGTCTTTTTAATAGGACTCATTCTTTGCCCTTTAGACAGCATGTCTCTCAGACAGACATGACATCGCTTCACAACAGCAGATGTTTGTTGTCTGGAATCAACTACAGACAATCTAACCGTTCACACATAGAATAAAAATGGCTATGGAGTTGCCACTTGAGCCCCACATATTTCTACCACTTCCTATTTTTGCCAATGCAATCTTTTATTGTTTTTGTGCATTTAATGTGGCGCTAAGTGACGTGCTGTGGA